CTTGAAGAGCCAGGGACAACAAGGTGAGAGTTTCTACATTTATCTTTTATGAAGTTGACTAACAGTCATAGTACGTCCATTGCATCCTGTCTGAAGCGCATGGCAGCTTTGAACCGAGCCGTCCGGCCTATGTTCCTGCCTATAGACTTGAGGATACGCGGATTGAGCGTTCGCCTCATTGGGAGGAGTTAGCAAAACTCACAGCGCCAACGAAAATTGGAGCTGTCATCTGTTATCACCTTTTTGGCGGTGAAGAGGATAGGTGGGAATGGGAATATGACAAAGGGCTTCGAACTAGAATGATCGGTGAAACTGAACTCGTTAAAGCAAGCGGCGGCGACTTGTATGTGAATCCCCTTGATTTGATCATACTGGTGATTAACGGCTTTCAGAATAATTTGCAATGCCTGGCTACCACAGCAATTCCCACAGCCTAGAGACCGTAGAGACCTTTTCATTGTAAATTATCGGTCGAAAAATATTGCTTGGTAAAGCACACTTTCATGCCTAGAGCTTTGTTAGGGGGAAGTGAGGGTGTTGGAAAAGCAGACTGAAGAGCATGCAAGGGCGATTATTTGACAAGATGTTAATAAAAAGGTAGAACTAGCATACATTTCAATTAGGATTCCAAGGTATTAAATATTTGAAGTCCAGCCGTGCGTACTCTCAAGGTGTAAAGAAAGGTCGTGAGGAAAACCTGAATGGGCTGATTCGGGTGCCTACTCAAAGACAGAAGAAGTATCTGCGTATAGCCAGCTTGATAGAAAAGATTGGTCCAGATTGAAATCCACATGGCCTAGATTATCATCGACGCTTGAAAGAGTCTGAGAGTGATTTATGCTGCCAGAGTCTGTTCCAGACCGATTCGCCCCAGCAATATGAGGCGGCGAGCATGTGGGCTGCGTTGAATTTGGAATACTAGGTTCCGCCCTCTTTTTGCGACTAGATGTCGCTCCTTTAGGCTTCTGTCTCTGTCGTTTTCTTCGAGCAAGAGGAGGCGAGAGGATATCGTGCGTTGTGGAACATCTAGCATCTGCTGCGCAATGACTGGTCCCTTGTTCCGAGTCCTGAGTGCCTTCTTCATCTAGACGAGTAACTGTCATAGTTAGTTCACACCTGTATTAGTCCGCAATAAGTACTTACATGGGATTCCTCCACTAGACCAACTGAAGACATCAATCCTAGAAGCATGCAGCTCGCCATGATCTGCCTGCTCATGTCTTCCAAGGTCTCTAGCCGTCAGAAACTGTCTCCCGCACTGAAAACAGTACCTTTGGTCAAGTATATGTCGGTGGAATTGATGGCTGTGATTCCATGACGTCCTAATATGCCTTAACAGGCCATTCGCATCCACATCTTTTTGACAGCCTGGCGCAGGACATCCAGGCGCAATCGATGGGGCTGATTGTCGCTGGAGGGAAGCCTTAATATCTTTCAGACTGCAAATGGATCCGCCGAATGCCCTATCCAAAAAGCATTTTCCATCAAGACTTTCAATTATCTCTTCCATAACAGTAACACGTATATAGAGACTCTCAATTGCTTTGCACAAATTGCGGTATAAATCGGGGTTGGAGGAAGCTTGTGGATCAACTCTGAATCTGTGCACTCTGTATTCTACAGTCGACATTAGAAGAAGTTTTGAGGGGAAGGGGGAGGAAAATTACCCATTCCGATAAATATCACGGCCCGCGACTGCGCTGATGTGGATGCGCTCAGAATGAACAAGGCGAGATAAACAGTGGCAATAAGACAGGAGGTGGAGGAGATAAAAGGACAGGGAGCACTTGCTGTTGTTATCTGGCAGACGGCAAGGCCATGACTCCAGGAAATGGACGGGTACAGGGTGGGGAAGTTTGAGTCGAGTTCGCTTCTTCGCGGCGCGGCCCGTGCCCAGATTGCTACCGCAGCTAGCATCAAATAGCGGTCCGCAGTGGTCTGCAGCTTAGGCTGCCTAGCATCTCACCTTCACCTACTGAGTCCTTGCCCGTTCCTTCTGTTATTGAGCCTGCTAACACACCTTCTTTTCCTCCAGAGCTCACTCCTATCCCTGAGACCTCCCACGATGTTGCTACTCCTGACAGGTGCGCCCACGCAACAAACATCCAAACATCAAATGCTCCGTGGAATATGGCGCCAAACTCCAAGAGTCTGGGATGAAGACGCGGCACGCAGCCCAGGGCTTGGAAAAGCCCTCAGCCCCCTGCTGAGTTGAAAGGTATCGGCCGTCGTCGCTCTGTACAGAAGTGGGAGACAATTAACCACTATGCACCACAGCCTGGATATTGGGGTTATCCAGGATATGAAAGTGATGACTTAGCTGGATTAAGACCGTACGCAGCTTGGACAGCCTTTGGACAGAAGACAAGGCGCCTAACAAAACAGTGCTTCACGTTGATTTCACCGTCAGTGAGAACAGCAGTGTGGGTAAAGGGATTGCACACTGGAAGCAATGTCCTGGAGTTGAATGGGAAGCAGCTGCTGCAGCTTCTTTCAGAACTTCAACAGGGGGACCATCGAAAGCGCGAAAAGGGTCCACAAGCACCTCAAAAATTTTCTGGGTATTCAGTCTGATGCTGACCATGATGAGAGCATCCGGCTCCTGAGTTTATTGGGGAAGGTTGCCGATTCGAGCCCCTCACTCGCCAGTTACAGCGCGCGACATATCTGAAATACTGAAAGACTAGAGAGGCGACCCTATTTTTGCAGTATGCGAAAGAAGATGGGAAGTTGTCCAGGGCCTCTTCAGCGCAATCGGAGGTATGGGACATCCTGGGGCTCCTCTTGAGTTTATGGGTCCGTTCGCGGGCCGGTCCGGTGTAAACTGGAGCAGATGCAAACTCAAAAGCAAAGTTTATTACTCGGGCTTTCGGTTTCCGACTCCAATTTGAAGGAAGCTCACAACAACAGGTTCAGAAATAGGCATTTGATCAAGTAGATCAGCTCCAAATCTCAATGTGAACCGGGAACAGGCTGTCTCAAAGACAACCCAAAGATTTGCATGGATCTTGACCCTGGGGGCATCAGCCGCACGAGCTGCCAGAATGGTGAAGACTGGCAGGACGATACTGGTTTTGTACAAGGGAGTCTACCCAAGGTCACACATGCCTGTGCAACGTAGGTCTCAGAGGAGGCAATGACGTTTCACATCACTGAAAGTTTACATTTTGCTCAAAATGCCACTGTCACTACTTTATTTCTTTCGGGATCTACACTGAAATCTCACTTTCATTCTTCATTCTGAGAATGTATTCCAGTCTACCACGTACTTAGTCTGCAGATAGGAGCGGGGAATCTGATAGAGTGGAGTAGCAGCAATGTCCAAACAACCAGGCAGCTTAGACCTCCCTGGTAGATTCTTCTCAAGGGCGAGTCTAAGTCGTGAAGGCGTTCTTCGATGGCCAACCGGCGGCAAAATGTCTGTTTCCGTCCTGCTGCTGCTTGCCATTGGTTCTCCATAAAATGCTGTACGGATGACAAGGAGTGTGTATGAACCACACACCTAACAACCTAATTATCGAAGCAGATCATTAAGAGTGCTGTTTCGGACCACCTGCAGCCAGTAGGGGCTGCATAAGAAATGCGTGCCGTGCTAGATCTTCAGCTAGAAGCCTCTCTTCAGGTAACCATGCGAGCGCCGATCGCAGGAAATGCAAGAACATAGTACGGACATCCCCTTCCAGGCTCCGCTCGCGTATCTCAAAAGATTGCTCCGGGATAGGAATAGATCCTTTCCAGTTTGCTACGGACAACACTTGTTAGCTTGCAAGGTAGTTTGCAATTGCTGGGTTATAATCGTACCGTTTTCATCCCAGTACTGAAGACACCTGTCGCTTCGTCTTATGAACTCGAGAGGCGGGGGCCCAAGAAGTGACACCATTTCGGCTAGGTGCTGTTCATCATTAAGTAGGCCATCTTTTCTTGCGAAAAAAAGGTTTCCTGTTTCAAGAAGATCCCAGGTCTTGAACAACAAAATTAGTCGCACTTCACGAATATTTGGTAGAGATAATCCCCTTACTGTGAGGCCGACTGCCCAAATATCCACTTTAGAATCCCACTCCATATCCAGGATAACCTCCGGAGCCCTGTAAATCCCTGGCATGATATCGCCCTTGTGCTTGTCACCGATGCGTGCTTCACCGAAGTCGCAGAGAACAGGTAATCCCGTGTTTATCGGCATGGGTCGCGAGACATAGATCGTGCGGTCATCAAGAACCTTTCTAGCAGTTGGCTGGTTGGCCTCACCATCTTCAATTTCAGAAAGGGCTGTAAGGTCGGTGATCCCTTGGAGAAAGTTATTTGCAGATATATCTAGAAACCTCAGTACTTGGGTCCCAAGCTTGCATTGTATGTACCAGATAAGGAAAACATACCCGTGTGGACAACCTTGGCTTTATGTAAGTAGTCTAGCCCCAAGAGTATCAACTGCATGCTCCTCTGAATCAGGGCCTCAGGCATCTGCTTGTCGGGAAACAAGTCAAGAAATTCTGTGTAGCTCATCCCAAGAGGTTGGTAAAGCAAGCACTGGTGTTGATTCCCAGTTGGGCCCATGATGTTGAAAGAATCAAGTATCATGCGAACAAATGGTGTTCCGGGATGCTCGATGTTGCTTGCCTTGAGATGGTTGCAAATGGCAATCTCATTATTTTGCCGGTTGTGTGAGGTGCATACTTTGAGAGATAGATATCGATGATCCCTGACAGGAAAGTCAGTCATCTTGAAGTCGCAGTACGCGCGCATATTTTGGGAAATACTAACACAAGGTCCCGACAAAGCCAAACTGTGGATGACATACCAAAGCCAAGTTTAGCTACTACTTGGTATCTCTCCACGAAGACCTCACCAATCGTAACTGGGTAAAAATCTCCTGGCACATAGGAGGGTAGTTCCTCCTCTTCTACCTTCAGCTTTGGGTCGAGAGCCACAAACCCCGACGAAGGGAATCTGCGTGGAGGTGAGTGAGAGGTCGAAGCCATGGTCCTGACTGCCGCTGGCCAAAAGTGGAGCAGGGAAATGGGCAGCGAGACACGACGGGTGTTTGGGAATGCGAGGAGCCGGGAAGTAATAATACTAGCAGGTAGACGAAAAGAGCTTCCACACATAATTGTAGCCAAATAAGGGTTGGGCCAAAGTACGCCGTAAGGTGATGGGCGGCTACAAAGAACGTGTAGGTGTGGTTTGGAGGAGGTCGGGTTGGGGGAGCGTAGGCTAGGTACTTGGCAAGAGGCTAGTTGTCAGCCAATGGTAAAACTTTCCACTGAGCGTTGGAGGTCAGCCTTGGCATGTGCCAAGTCCCCTCCCTAATCCGGCCTAGCACGATCAATCCCCACACCTCTTTCCACCCCTTGACCTCTCAACCAAAACCCCTTGTTGCTTCTTTCCTCGCGACCAATGAAAAGCTTTTCGAATCAAGCCCTCTGCCTCGCAGCGTTGGCTCTGCATGAACTTCTCACCAACAGAAACTTGAGGTTCTTGAAACACAAGCTGCATACTCCTAGTATCCCCCGCAATCTACGCGCCGGCCTCCAACAGCATATCCAAATTTAGGCGCTCTCCAGCTTCTTGGTGCCAATGGAAAGTGTTTGAATGTCTGCCTAAATGCAAAGCTCCAGAAATGGAAGCACTGAGTGGCAACAGCATGATACCCCAAATATATCCAGTTTCTCTTCTCCAATGAAAGGTTGTTCAGATTCTGTGTGATGCACATGCTGAAACAACTGAAGGGCCATTCAGTGGACAAGAATAGCCGCCCCCTGGTGCCGTCTGCTGTCAAATGGGGGAAAAAAAGCACCAACTTTTCTCTACAATCCTTTTTTCTTTCCCCAACATCATGACCAACAATCTGTTTGTTCTATCCACAATCTTTTGAAGTAACATAACGTTTCTGCTCCTCTTCCCCCAACCAAACCTAACACGCCTTCAAAACGATGTTTACCCCTGCCAAGGCCTTGCAAATGGTGTACAAAGGGATCTCCCTCGAGACACTCGGCTTAGAGGCAGGACCCGAGTTCATGAAGACAGTCAACATTGCGAGTGGGAGCATTGAAAAGAAGGTAGGGCTCACGAGGTAATCCCATAATGATGATGATGCTGACGAGGCTTCGCAGTATCCTCGAGTTGCTTATGCGCAGATCCAGTAAGAAACACTTGTCACCCCATATCTAATATGTCCTAATACAAGTATCCAAAGGGGCACAACGCCGCATACATCGAGCAGAGACAAGTCTGATAAACAGAAAGTCGTCACTGTCGGATACCACACCAGTTCTGGCACAAGGCTCCTCTCGATTCATGCCCATAACGACAGAACCTGGAAAGAGTTCTTCTCCCGACATGGAAAAACGGAAGCCGCAATCTCGGCAAGCCCCTGATGGGTCGTTAAAGGGCTCAGGATCGTAAATTTTCATCCCCTCAATGACGGCGGTGGGAAGGTTGTCGTAAGCAGGCTCAAGCTGTGTCACCACAAACTCGTACCATGGGTTCCGGTCACCTTTCTCATATCTTAACTGCACAAGCAAACTTCCTATAGGGTATAGTGTTGGACGAATCTCCCTCCCCTTTTTGTTGAACTCAGAAATCGTGCCCTTCGCTGGCCTCCACCACTCAAAGGGAGCATCGTTTGCCATGATTTTTGAAAGAAGTTTGATGGCATCATCCACCTGTGCATTCAGAACGTATGACCAGGCCAATGCTCTTCCCACGGGGATCAGAAGTTCCTCCAGATGTTTTTTCTTGAACTCCTTCCAGCAGTCTTCAAATATTGAACGAACGCAGATCCTGTTCGCAACTTCTCAACGCACTAAAGTAGCCAGATCTTGCAATAACCCTCCATACAAGTGTGCTGGGATGGAGAATTTTCTTTGAAAGATAGATCTCAGAATCCGAAGCTCGTCACTCTTATAAGTATCGCGGAGGGATTGACAGGTTTCGATGGCTGACAATAGTGTCCCAAGATCGCTCAGTTGACCAAGTATCAGAACTCGAATCTCGATCGGACATCCGATTAGGCTGGGAGTAGCTCTGGCAAGATGCATCATGAGGGGTGAAATGAGATGCAGATATTTGGGTTGGACAATCTGATGGGTGAAGCTGCGCTTTATATACCTCTCTGCCCAGGCAGCCAAGGCGGCTGAGTCTCACAACTTTCATGCGCAAAAAAGAGCATCAAGCCCAGGGTGAGTGCCAAGACTGACCACCCATGCTTTGTTGGCTTCCCCCTCTTGCCTTGCAGTTCAGTGAGGTGGCAGTGCTCAGCAATCTCAGCCTCACAGCCAGGTGGGTGTAATAAGCTAGACTACAAAGAGACTAGTGTACACAGAACAAAGGCACCCGATTTTCCAGCATCCTCCGCAACCCAGAGATCAGGCCCATTGTTTGTTGCATACCAGCCTTTCTTTTTTTTGAGAGGGGAGGGGCATTCTGCCGCAATAGTATTCTTGTTCAAGGGTTCTCACTTTCTAGAAAAATTCAATGATCAGAGTTTCCATCTAAAATCTACTCCGGTATTATGATCATACAGCTGCGCTACGGCAACTTGCAATGCAAGCACCTCCCCGTACAACTGTTCCATGGGCGACCTCTGCGTGACTCAAAAGATCAGATTTCTCCTGTAGCACCTCCCGCTCACAAACATTACATTCAACCCCTTTGGCTGGCCAGGGAGGGTTCACATGTTTCCGCAGGAAGTGCCTTGTAAGCGAACCAGGTGTTGCGTATTTTGCAATCCGGCCCTTCAGCGACAGATTGGGGTTTCCAACACAGAGAAAGCAGACCTGTGGCCGGTCGCCTTGAGACTTGATCCGACAGCTTCCATCGCTTGGCGTAGAAGAATCTCAGTGTCATCCTCCACTGAGCGCCGTTGCCGTTTGGCGGGAGGGCAAGGGTCATCGCCATCAGGTACGGCCCGGCGGCGGGATGGGGTTGGTCGGAGTGTTGGCCGTCCCTCTTCAATGCGGCAGAATGCGGCCATTGCGTTGATCGCGTTGATCCGGCGCTGATACTCTGCTTCAACGGTGGCGCCTGGCATGGACAGGATGGCATCAACCATGATCAGATGCTCTGGAGGCATGAAGCTCTTGTGCTCCAGTGTTTCCATGACCTTGGTATCCACTAGCTTCCCGGCCAGCTGCCGTTCAACGTCAATCACAGGCTGCTCATCTCGATAGCGCTTCAGATTTGCTCGGATGAGTCGGTTCCGCTGTCGTTGCTTCTCATTACGCAGTTCGCGGACTGCTCTGTTGTACTTATGTTTAGCGTCCATTGTCCGATCCTGGAGATTTTCCAGCTTCCCCAGTAGTTGGGAATGGTTCTTGGAAAGCTCTTCTTTGTTAAGATGGCCAAAATGGGCTTGAAATGCTGTATTGGCACGTTCTAGCCTGGCTTTGCAATCTTCCCACTCCTGCTTGCGCTTATTGACTGTATCTTGCCGCGCGAGAACCTCTGGGAGGAGATTGATGGACCGAGATTCTTCTGCGGAGAGCTTATACGGTCGATTCGGGTCAATAGATGCGCTCATTGAACAAGCAAATCGAACCAATGGTGTTTGGGAACCTGTTTTACGGACGATGCCCTGTACATCAACATCAACATCCACCTCATAATGTCGGACGAAGGTACGGATATCTGAGTGCTGGAGTATGACATTCTGTAGAGCATCCGTGACCTCTTCTGCTGATTGGGTTAGTTATCCGGCTAGCCTGAGATGAGAGAGACTAGGGGATACTTACCACTGCTGTTGAAGGCCTTGGCCCCAGCATATCGAAGATTGTACGGGTGGGCGATCTCCTCAAAGCCTGTGATCTCACCACATCGGCGCATCCGGGATGACAGTGGATGCTAACAGTCGCTTCTCCAGGTTAATTTGAAATCCAGTAGGTGTCCGCTCCACCTGGCAAAACACAAACTTATCCAGCAATTCATCTTTTAATCGCAACCCCTGCTGTCCCTTGCCCTCCAGCACTGTGAGACTGTACAGTTTTTCCGCAGAATCCAGCACTGGTCCAGTTGTTGAAATTTTCTTGAAGCCGTCAATGTGAAAGAGCATACTGAGCAGACAGACATGCGGACTGAGAATCAGAGTGGGATCGAAAATGATTTCCGGAATCTTAAACTCGTTCCTACCCAATTCGGTCAGTCAATGCTTAGGAGCAATAAATCAGGGACACCTACGGAGCCTTCTTCCCTAGGAACCTCTTTGTAAAGTCCGGCTTTAAGAATATGAATAATCGAGGGCGCCCGCCCTCCGGATCTCGGATCAGCGATAACATTATGTCCCGATAGCGAAGGTGGAGGAGCGCCCCTGGGCGGCTGGCAGTGATGGCCGCAAGCTGCACGAAGAAAAGCATTTGAATGCGTTGCCAGCCGCAGATGAATGTCATCTCAGTGGTGGTTAGGAGAACACGTGCGAACTCAGCCACATCTTCAATATACATGTTCTTCTTTGGTTTCCGGATGAGCTCGAGGCCTTTCTGTTCAGCCACAAGGGCAATAACCTGGAGGCAATCAGGGGCTGTTTCTTTACTTCTAAGCTAGAGTATATTGACAATTGGTCACCTACATCATCTATCTTGACAATTGTAGCTTTGCTCAGTCCTGAGTTGGTCTCCTGTTTGAGAACCATATGCCACGACTTCCAAAAGGTCTCGAGTGAGCTCTTGTACTGGATGCCTGGGCAGTGTCGACCATTCTTGCCACGACGGATGTCGCACCGCCAGCTGAAGAATGCGTAGAGGAAACAAACTGTCTCATCTGAGTCTGAGATCCATCGCCAATGCTTCACTGGGTCAACGCCAATGTACCGACAATGCCTGTCACAGGGCCGCCTGTAAGCCTTCAGCTTGTATGGGAGGTGGGGAGGGTTATCTACCTCTTCCAGTACATGCGGGTCTCCTCAAGTTTTTCCTCAGTCTGTTCACTGTACCGTTTCTATCGAAGCTGAGAGACATCCAGACTCTTTGCTTGGGCGAGGTAGTGTTCAGGAGGGAGCTGGCCCTCATCAAAGGCATCGTCGTCGGAATTGTCACTGTCATCTTCATCCTCACTGGGGTTGCTGTAGGAGCCACTTTCATATCCGCTGTCCCAAAAGATCGAATCCAGCACGGCGCTGGCATCACTCTTGCTCGGACTATCTTTATCATCAGGTCGGACGGGTTGAGAGCGAGGCGCCATGTTCAAGATGGCCCAGCAAGCAGCGAGGAGAGAACCTGAACTGAGGAACTGAGACGGGGAGTGCTTTCATGGACGAGCGCAACCGCGAAGGACTGGCAGGAGAATAGGACAGGAGCAGGAGGAGACGAGCGACATGCTGGGAACAGAACTCGAGGGAACATGGTGGTCAGGGGGGAAACCTGAATTGATTTTTTCTCCGGCGCTCCACGAAGAGTTTGCTGAGAATGTCCCATTGAGGTATACTGAAAGCCTCTTAACCGCAGATTGGCCCAGATGTTGGCAGGAATTATGAGTCGGGTGTATCATGTTAGATTGCATGGGAGTGGCTAAATTCTCTGGAGCCAAAGTAGCTGTGAGAAGCGGCTACCACCAGCTTTAGACACTGTTACGAGCTCCCAGAACCGATTC